ATCAGTCAACTGTTGGAAGAGGTCTCCAGGTTACAACAGAATTTACAACGTCTTCAAGAGACGAGCGCGCAAGCGACGGCGCGTCTCGAGGAAGAACTCGAGGCACGAAGACAGCACATCAGTAGATTGGAGAGTAAATTGGAACGGCAGAGAGATTACGATGACCTGAAGCGCGAGATCAGCGTGTTAAGGTCGGTCGATCTCTCTCAGATTCCAACCGGCGAACCTGGCAAGAGTCTCGAACACCTTTTAATGGAACGTTCGAAAGCTCTCCAACAAGCTGAAAGTCTAAAACCACCGAACACACCCGACACACTCGGTAAGTTTATTATAACGTTCTCTCATTCTCATTATTATCGATTAAATTTTTTTTTCTTTTTCTATATATATATATATATATATATATATATATATATATATATATATATATATAGAAATACTCGATCAAGTAAATTCGATCGAAATTTCGCGCACAACGAAAACTCCGTATTAATGATTTTCTTCCACGTGTTTATGCGTTAACGAATAACAAATCGCGTATGAGAGCTTCGTTCGACAAATCTTTACGCGATCGGATTTATCATTATCGCCTTTCTTCTTTTCTTTTTTTTTTCCCCCTCTATTTTTTTCATTTTTTGTTTCACTTATTCCACCCCCCACCCCCACTGCTTTTTTGTCCTCCTTTCGGAATACAATCACTCTGACAGAGGAGCTGCGAAAATCATAATGAATTGTGACTTAGGCAATTAGTAGTAGTGTTGTACTAACTTCATTGCACGATACCAAAGTAACGAGAACGTTAAGCAATTAGAAATCTATGTATATAGATATACATACATACATATATATATATATAGATATATATAAGTTAAGATTAGACGCATCGATGAGAAAATTTCAAGGTACCGTAATGAAAAATTAAAATAAAGAGGATTACTTATTAGTATCATATTAGCATCAACCGCATATAATATCGCTTTTGATTCTTATGCTACTGCTCTGATCTTCGGTCGCCGACTCTCTCTCCTCGAGGCTCCGTCGATGGGCTCGATATCGGCTAGTTAAGAAATAATAAATAACAAATAGGGCACGAGTCATTTTAAGCGGATGCAAAAACGCGGATGTATAATAATAATAAAAGAATAAAATAAAAAATGAAAAATAAAAAAATAGGGGGATGACCGAAGGAGCTTACGAAAACGAATAAAAAAAAAGAAAAAGAAAAAAAAAGAAGAAAAAAAAAAGGAAAAATAGAAAAAAGAGAAATAAATTGAACAAAAAAACTAACGACGACGACGATGACAACAACGACGACGACGACGATGACTGCAACAACAACAAAATAACCCTTGCTTGCCAATGTGTTCGCACTATACTCCAACTCTCTCTTCCTGTCTCTAATTCTTATTTATATTTCAACCATCTTTTTTGACTCCAGCGATTTATCATACCCTTTCTAACATTTCTTTTTTCTTTTTTCTCTATCTGTTTGTCTCTTTTTCTTTCTCTCTCTCTCTCTCTCTCTCTCTCTCTCTCTCTCTCTCTCTCTCTCTCTCTCTCTCTCTCTCTCTCTCTCTCTCTCTCTTTCTCTCTCTCTCAACTTTATTCTCCCTCGAATCCTTCGTTGCTTAGGCTGCACTTTTTTCGAGTCACTCTCACATCGGTACGTATGTATATTAACGTACACTCACGGAAGGTACTACTAACGTAACGGAACACATATTATCTCTCTGCCCTATTCCAAGTACACCTCCGACATCTGCCCTAAAATCCCTCCCCGTTCCCCCATCAACTACCACCACCACCACCACCCCATCATCATCATCGACCTTTTGCCAAACGTTACCGGAATTCGCTTCCACGGTCCCTCCCACTTTTTGGAGCCATCCTCCCTTCGTCTGTCCTCACTACGAACCGTCTCTCTACACTGGGATAAGCAAATCTCTTGCACGCAAATTTGTGGACGATATTCGCAGTATTTGCCCAGGCCCGGGCTATTGTTTCGGGGACGGAGTTTATTATGAATCGATCCAGGACGACGGAGGTGGCGAGAGAGAGAAAGGGAGAGAAAAGTACGTGGCGAGAGGGACAAAGAAAAAGAAACGCAGCCCATGTAGAAAAGAGAGAGTGAGTGAGAGAGAGTGAATGAGTGAGTGAAAGAGAGAAAGAGAGTGAAAGTGAGAGAGAGAGAGAGAGAGAGAGAGAGAGAGAGAGAGAACCAGAGGGATATATCAACGTCGACGAACATCCCTCTCTCTCTTTCTCTCTCTTCTGAATTTAAACGACCGAAACACGCTCTCTCTTATCCGTCGTCATCGTTCCTATTTCTTTTTTTTTTTTTTTCTTTTTTTACCATCCTAATTTTCCGTTCTTTAATACCACAAATTCCTCGTATGCGTATTCGCTTCGACCAACGTTTGTAATATCTTTTCGATTGTTCCAACATTAGCTTTTTGTTATCCCTTATTCCTCTTTCCTATCTCCTTTTCCCTCTTACCCTCTACCGTTCGTTTCGAAGATTTCAATTCTATATATTCTCCTCTTAGTTTCGTGATATCTTCTCATTTTTATTTTTTTCTTTTTTATTTTTATTTGTTTATTTTTTCCTAACAATAAACGTGCAACTTTTGGTACGCGTATATTTTTTCTGATTGAGTATGAAAATAACGTTTCATCATTTAAATAATATCGAGACGCCGCCGAATGCGACGATGCAATGGAGAGAGTCTAGGTCGTGTTCAAAAGAGGAGGAAAAGAAAGAAGATCGAATGGAAAAGGATCGTAGATTAAAAAAAAAAAAAAGAAAAAAAAGAAAAAAAAGAAAAAAAGGAAAAAAAAAGAAAAAGAAAAAAGATTGGAAAAAAAAACAAGGCGAAAAAAGGAACAAGAAAAAGAGAGAAAATAAATGCGGAGTCCAAAAGCCGACGATCAGAAAGTCAGTATCCTGTTTCACGATGGAGATGATTAGGTTGAATATCTCTAGTGCGCGTGCAACCGTGTTGACGGGGTCCCTTGTGTTTTTGGTGGTTGCAGGTGGACTATCGTCACCCCTGCAGCGCGCCTCGACCGCCTCGCCCCATGGGGTCGGAGGTGGGCCACCTTCGTCCCTCGTTTCCTCCCAACAAGCCCCACCGCCACCTCCGACCTCGGTGTCCCTTCCGCCACGCTCCACGCCGACACCTTCCTCCGCAACATCGACGACTTCCAGCCTCCTCTTCCCTCCGCCTCTCCAAAACGTCGAAACCTTCGGCTCCTTCCTCGGCGAGGAGATCGTCGCCAACTGGAGGCGGACGTTGGAGAGGTCGATTATAAATCAACAACAACAGCAACAACAGCAGCAGCAACAACAGCAGCAGCAGCAGCAGCAACAACAACAACAACAACAACAGCAACAGCAGCAACAACAACAGCAACAGCAGCAAGTCCAACAGGTGCAACATCAACAGGTACAACAGCAACAACAACAGCAGCAACAGCAACAACAGCAGCAGCAGCAACAGCAAGGCACTCAAATCTCTCAATTAACGCAACAACAGCTGCAGCAAGTCCAACCGTTGATAGGTCTCCATCCGCCTACGACGCCGAGCAGCCTAAATCATCTTCCCTCGCCAACGGAAGCGTCGTCTAGTACAAATGCACCGACCAAATCGAGCACGCCTTTGGGTACTACGTCTATGGGGACGACGACGCTGGCCACAGCGAACCTAGGAACGACGCCGCTTGGTACAACGTCGTTGGGCACGTCGACGTTGGGCACGGCGTTGGGTACGACGTTGGGTACGACGTTGGGTACGACGTTGGGTACGACGCTGGGTACGACGTTAGGCACGACGCCGCTCATCGGTTGTCTCGATTCAAGCGAGAAGGCGTCGACGCCAGTTCCCGGTCACGAAACGCCGGCGCCGCAGACGCCATCGTCGACGAGCGCACTGACATCGCCGCCGAGCTTTCAACCGCCCACGTCGATGGTCGAGACGAGCACCTCCTCCGCCTCCGTAAACGGCGGAGGCGTTACGCCCAGCGCCGTCTCAACGGCGCCGCCGCCGAAAAGTCCAGCCGATCAGGAATCCTGTCACAATAACAATAACAACAGTCATCACCTAGCAAATAACAATATAGGCGGATTAAGCGTCCTCGATACCCTAAAGAGTCCCTTCCGTTTCGATGACAGAACGCATCCGTTCAGATTCGGTGATGAATTTGGTGCCGCCGGTATGGCCGGTAGACTCGGTGAATCACTGATCCCAAAGGGTGATCCGATGGAAGCGAGACTTCAAGAAATGTTGCGTTACAATATGGACAAATATGCCTCGCAAAATCTTGACACCCTGCACATAGCCAGAAGAGTCAGAGAATTATTGTCGATACATAATATCGGTCAGAGATTATTCGCCAAGTATGTACTTGGATTGAGTCAGGGTACAGTCAGCGAATTACTGAGCAAACCAAAACCTTGGGATAAACTCACCGAGAAGGGACGCGATAGTTATCGGAAGATGCACGGTTGGGCTTGCGATGACAACGCCGTAATGCTGCTCAAGTCCCTAATACCCAAGAAAGGTGAGTACCGATGCGTTCCAACCTATCTCTCCATTTATTCTCTCTTTCTGTTTTTTATATACATATATATATATATGTATATATATATACAAACACACACACACACACACAAATATATATATATATATATATATATATATATATATTTATTATCTCGAACACGACCCTCACCGAAACTAAATGTCGATCGATCGAGACAAAGATTGCTTGATCGAAACTTAAACTGACGAATATGTAAATCATCCAATAAACGATCAATTATATTTAATTTTGTGAATACTATTATAATGATTTTTGTATCGTAAGTTAGCATTTTAACGATCAGAGGTAAAAACCATTGTCTCGATCGATCGAATATCTTGAGAATATTCTATTCTGCCTTGCACTGCCAATAATCCATCTCGCCGAATCACTAACAACGGAGCTATACGTTAACCTCTCTTGGCTGCTTAATACGGGTATCGATGGTACACTATACTATATACTATTCGCTCTAACCGCATCCCGCAGGAAAAGGAACTTAATGCTCATCCCAGACGTCGAATCCCTCTATCTTCTCGCATCCGCGACAATCAAAATGAAGGAAAGATACTCGTGCGTTTACGTATTCCTATATCTTCATTGTACATAAGACTACTCCACCATTGGAGTCTCTCGTTAATCAGACAGACGGTTCTCATAGAAATCATTGTTCAATCCATTGAATAGATGGATAAACGATATCAAAGGAAAGTAAGAAATCAATAGAGATGATTACATAGAATTTCTAGCATTGCTCTATTCGCTGTCGTTATCGATTATTTTCTGCGTTTGACAGCCATGTTGTTTTAGACTAATAACCTAAGCTCCTCCTAGAAAATCGAAAAGACGAGAGACGAGAATGTTTGATAAGGGGGACCTTATCCGATCGATTGTATTAAGTATATATACCGTTCATTGTAAATGACAGGCATAACAATGAATTTTCGATCGTTTTGAATTAGTTTTAGAAAATTTCTCATTACGGAAACATACATATATGGATTTTATATTTATATATATATATATTATATATATATTATATATATATATAGAATAAATCAATTTAGATAAGCAGGTCAGATATTTAGAAATATTCGCTAGAGGATATCGAACAACGTTTCAATTTTATGAATAAACGAATCGAATGAATTCGAATCGGAAGCTCTTCCTTCCCTTCCTCTTTTCCCTCCCCCTTCTCTCTCTCTCTCTCTCTCTCTCTCTCTCTCTCTCTCTTTTATGTGAAAAATATTAATATCAATCGTCAGAGGATGTCGATCGTAGCTTTAATAATGGTGCATCCTCTGTCCTGTACGCGTCCGGCGTGCGAAATAAAAAAAGAAAAAAAAAGAGACAAAAAAAAAAAGAGAAAAAAGAGAAAGAAAGAAAAAAAGGGGAAAAAAAAGAGGGGGGAAAAAGGAAAAGAAAATTTCAATGCGTATAAAATAAATTCAATGAGAGAGCTCGGGCTCTGTGACAAAACATGAGTCATGCGTCAATGGATTGTCGGTTTCCGTTGAGGATCTCTGACGACGATAATCATGACCAACGTTCGCCAGAACGTTATAGTGGATAGTAGTACGAAAGGGGGTGAGGAGGGAAGGTGAAAGCTGAGAGAGAATTGAACGATAAAAGAGAGGATGAGGAGGAAGTAATAATATATTCTGGGATGAATTAACGTAGTGTCGATGAATAAAACTGGTCGGGGAGGTGGGGGGTGGTTGGGTCCCTTCTCACACTTACTCCTATTCGATAAAGTTATACGGAAAATTCTCTATACATTGTTTAAGACGCCGATAATCGTTGCAACGTCATCGTTCGGAGTATAACGTTTACTCGGGGGCGAATCATCCTCATAAGGATAAATATACTCATATTTCATAGACCGAAAGTTCCGTAATCGACGCATGATTTATGGGCAAAAATCATCAAGACTTTATTCCGCCTGAAAAGACCATCGTCGAGTTCACGTCAGAAAGATAAGTTTTCATCGACTAAATACCTACCCTGGCCTAACGACTTATTACGGTATAGATATAGATACTGGAAATCGTTCGAGCGTGCAGAGCGAACCTGTCTTTGAAGGATTCATTATAGTGTATGTGTGTATAATCGATCTAGTAAGACTCGGTACTTATTCTATCAGTTATTTCATTTTTCTTTTCCTTTCTTTTTTCTTCGTCTTTTTCTTCTCCTTCTCCTTCTTCTTCCTCTTTTTCTTCTTTTTCTTCTTCTTCTTCTTCTTTTTACTTAATATTTATAGACGATAAATTGTCATGAGAAAAAAAGAATTATCTTCGTAATTTAAATTGAGGATGAGTACTTTAATTTGACTTTTTTGAATGGTCAGAAAGAAAAAAAAAAAAAAAAAAAAAAAAAAAAAAAGAAAAAAATAAAGAAAAACACAAAATATGAAAATGATTCAAAGTGGGTTCGCTTTGTTGAACAATATTCGTCGTGGTTTATCATTAAAAAATTACGTGGATTACGTAAAAAAAAAAAAAAAAAAAAAAAGATAAAATCAGTGACGAAGTTTCGTGTAAAAAAAAAAAGAAAGAAAAAAAAGAAAAAAAAAGGCGCGAAGGCGGAGGCGAAGATGGTCGGTGTCCAAAAATGAAAAATAATCGAGTGTATATGTTACACGTAGCCGCTTGCTAATCCAGCAACAAACATATCTGAATCTTGGCCCACAATTTAGTGCGGCACGTCCGAGACGTTTATTATTGCCCACCATCCTGGTGATTATGCGAGCACATTTTCCGTACCCACGTTTGCGCGAATAGCAGAATACAATTGATCTAAGCATACCAACCGTGCTACGTTGCCTTCAAGAGCAACGCACGGACGAGATTACGGTAATAAAGATAGTTGGTACCGGTCCAAGTCAGTTCATCGCAGGATTTTGTTTCTTGTTCTACCGCGCCAGTCGAATTCGCTGAATTCGTCGTCGTAGTCGTCGTCATCATCGTCGTCGTCGTCGTCCTCGTCGTCGTCGTCGTCGTCGTCGTAGTAGTTGTCTTCGACTAGTTGACGACGATTTCTCTATTCATATGCTTTTCTCTAACTGATTCTCTCCCTATCTCTCCCTTTACCCGAATGATTTTGACATTACACGTGATTTTAGCAAATCCCCTCTAAGAACAAATATATCTATTCCCGATCCTATACTCTATCTCTATTTTCATTAAATTTCAAGATAGAAATAAATGATAAAATATTTAATCCTATTGTTCGTCGAATATTTAAATATAATTATTATGAAAGTAAAAAATTACTTTGAGAAATATTCCCGAGTTCTTTGAAGGAAAAAAAAAAAAAAAAAAAAGAAAGAAAAAGAAAAAAAAAATAAAGAAAAACATCGTGAAATTTTAACCTAAGAAAGCTTTGTACATAGGGAACAATCGAATGATTTCATTGTTGGCAACGGGGGGGTATGGGGTGGGGTGGGCTGGAGACCATCGTAAAAATCGATACATCTTTTGATAAGAACGAAGACAAAAGATCGCTGACCCGTTTCGCACTTACTGCCGTCATCAAACCTTCGAGAATCTTTTTAATTGCTCTTTCCCTCTTCTCTCCCTCATCCTCTCTCTCTCTCTCTCTCTCTCTCTCCCTCTTTATTTTTCGAACAATAAGACGCCCGATTCGTTGCGTACCGATTCTCGAGTAGCTCTTTATTAGATACAGTAATAACGAGAAGGTAGATGAGGTGGAAGAGGTGAAGGAGGAAGAGGAGGAAGAGGAGGAGAAGAAGAAGAAAAAAAAAAGAAAAAAAAAGAAAAGGATGACGAAGATAGGACGATGTGAGGACGAGGACGAGTTTCCACGCGTACCTACACGATTCTATGAAAGACAATGGCTACCATTGGTGCAGCTCGACCAACTGGTAGCAACGTAATAGAGTATTCGTTCGGTTAGAAGGCGACGCAACCGTACGGTAACGTCGACGCAATAATCGACGCTGTTTCTTAAGAGTAGTCGTTGCTTCGTTGCTTAGGGAATTCTCACGAAATCGTTCCAGATTTTGTAATCGGCCATTGTCGACGTACCGCCTCAAAGGCAATGGCGACACACACATAACCGCGATCTATTGTGTTACGCGCGAGCACAATTTTCTCGGCGATCTAATCATCGAATTTGCCCGAAAGCCAAAAGGAATAACTTTTCAAAAGTCCAAGATTATCAACAATAATTGAGTTCATAACCATATCCGATATTCATATTTCTAACGTCGACAAATTTTTACAGACAGCTCCTTCGTTCACGAGGAGAGAAACTTTCTTTTTCTTTCCTTTTTCTCTTCTTCTTCTTCTTTTTTTTTTTTATATTCTTTCTCTTTTTCTTTTTTTCCAAGCAGAGTCCACATTGTATTAAAAGTATATTGAATCGATTGGATCTTTCTTTATGATTTCTTTTTCTTTCTTTTTTTTTTATTTTTTTTTTTTGTTATTATTGTTTTAGAATTCTTATCGAAAGAAAGTAGGTCATATAGGTAGAGAAAAAGATTGAGAGAGAAAGAAAAAAAGAAAGAAAGAGAGAGAGAGAGAGAGAAAAAAAGAGGGAGAGAGAGAGAGAGAGACAAAAATCAGAGCGGAAATGGTTAATTACGCGAGCCGCTTCTAAACCGTCCGAAGTTGTATTCGCGCGAAGCAGAGATACGAGACGATAATTAGTTGTGCTCATCGTACGTTACAATCGTTACCAGGCTACGATCACTAGGCGTTAGATCGCGATCTAACTCGTTGACTAGCTAACTTTGCGTCTTCTCTTTCTTATTACCTTCTTCGCCGTCTCTCTCTCTCCCTCTATCTATCTATCTATCTCTATCACTATCTCTATTTCTCCTCAAAGTTTCTTGAAGATACTCTCTTGAGAAAATGCCGGTGGATATATCGTAGATATAATCGAGAAGCACGTTCAATTCGCACGCTTTTCTCAACTGTTTCTCAGGGTTTTCGTGCAAATTCTCGAGGAAAGAAAAAAAAAAAAGAAAAAGAAAAAGGAAAAAGGAAATTGTTTACATATACATATAGATGTATATATATATATATAATATGTGTACACCTACACTTAACTATCTTTAATTTTTCAACTGATTAGATTAAAAACAAAAGGATGAATCTTTTATGAAAATTCGATAGGATTATCTTCTTAGTATGAATGAACTACGAATGCGATTAAATTCTTGAATCTCGTATCTTAACTGATAAAAGTCCATAATCTTCTCAGAAATAATCATTTATGGATTCTGTCGGGTGCTAAGGATGGCAAGGAAAATCGTTGGCATAAGTCGAAGTCTTCTGGCACGAATTCAAGCGTTGCGACAATGCGCGTATGTAAGGGGTATATATATATATATATATACCAAAGTACATACATACATATGTCACGGTTCGTTCGTTCTTACGAATCGAAATCCCACCCTTCTTGAACCGTCGTCGTCGTCGTCGATGTCGTATTCGTTTCTTCTTCTTCTTCTTCTTTTTTTTTCCTTTTTTCTTTTTTCTCTCTTCATCTCGTCCTAGTCTGGACCACCCAGTTTCATGCGCATCGGAGCAACCAATTTCTTTGGAAGTTCCTGCAAAGTATGATCATTAATACTCTTTGGAAAGAAATTTCCTCGTTTGTCACATTTCCGTAGGAAAAAGAAAGAAAGAAAAAGAAAAAGAAAAAAAAAAAAAGAAGGCAAAAGAGAAGAGAAAAATAAAGAAAAGAATGAAAAACGAAAGGAAAGATAATTCATTCGATACTCGTCGTGACATGTTCTTTTTCTATTTTCATTTTTCCTTTCAAAAAAAAAAAAAAAAAAAAAAAATGAAAAAGAAACGGAAGAAAAGAGATTTACGAGATTCCTTAGATACGATTCCTTTGACGGAAGATTATTAATAACTATGGCTCTTTGTGCGTAGCGTTACAAGCTACTTTAAATGACAAGAATCTTAATTGAAAGTTAAACAGAAGGGATTATTTTTGCTCGAATCAATTTAAAGACTTTAAAGCCTGACGATGAAAAGTTTCGCAAACGACGATATTATACATAGGTGTTCATAAATTTATTAAAATGATAGTATCGACCTAGAGCATTAATGTAGAAATATATTTTCCTCCGTAGATTTATGTTTTTTAATATATATATATATATATATATATATATATATATATAAATAATGTTACATTAGGAATAGGTTAGATGCGTGAGGGACTGCGGGGAGGGGTGGAAGGAAGGGGGAAATTTAGAATAGTAAAGTTGGATTTGTGTCTCATATTTCTGTCGGAAGAGAACGAATAGATTTGATGGGAACACGTTGTGTGTGAAAGTCTTGGAATACCTATGTTGTACGACGAGCAAGAGTCGACAGATTTTGATGGATCGTCCGCAATCATCCTCCAACACATAATTTCGAGCACGATTCACGCAAAGATTGCTTTAGCTCGATGATCGTACCGGTAAATTCTCGCCTCCCATGTTATTCTCCTTCTCTCGATCTATCCTCCTGTCTCTCTCTCTCTCTTTCTCTATCTATCTATCTATCTCTTTCTCTTCCTCTTTCTCTTTCTCTCTCTCTCTCTCTCTCTCTCTCTCTCTCTCTCTCTGTCTATCTCTCGAAAGGAATGCGAAATCACGGAGGCGTCGAATTTGCACGACGTAAACGTCGAGGATGCGGGAGCAATCAAACGCGTGATCGATGGCTCATTCGTCTGAATCTTGCGGCTGATTGGTCAATTAGACGGGAAACACGTAGGAGGACGACACTCTTGGTAGGTACGCGTTAGCGAAGGGGGCCGAAGAACCGCAAGGGCGAGGCGGTAGCGGTGGCGGTGGTGGCGACGACGGTGGCGGCGGTGGCGGCGGCGGCGACGGTGGCGGAGGCGGCTCTGAAGAGGATATTTTAATTATCGTCGGACGAGTTCCACGCGCGTCCCGCCTTCGGCATTCGTTTCGGTGCTATTGATTCTGCGTCGTATTAATTGCTTCCGCGTTTGATCGAACCCTGGATCGCCCAAAGGGATTTTCCTTGGATTACCTTTCATCGGGTGTATACTTCGTTCTCGTTGAAAATTTATTCGTCGAAGTCGAAAATCAAAGAAGGAAGTTCTGTATACTCGTTTGGCAAGAGAAAAAAATGAGATAAAGAGAGAGAGAGAGAGAGAGAGAGAGAGAGAGAGAGAGAGAGAGAGAGAGAGAGAGAGAAAGAGAGAGAGAGAGAGAGAGATCACAGGGATCTATTGATCGAAGAAAAAGATCGATGGATTTCGATAAAGTTTGAACAATATTTTTTTCCTTTTTTTTTTTTTGTTTTTATTATCCTTCATTTATACTATGAATTATATGTACTTATATAATTGTATTTTTTATATATCCCTAAGATGAAACCGAGTAAGAACACACCACAAGTTGTGCCTCACCCGTAGAGTATGTTTCAGGCAAGGAGCAGGGAATGCCACCTTTCGCGCGTGGACCACAGGAAAGTGGTCCGCCAGAAATGAGCGACGAGAGGTTGGCCCATATCCTCTCGGAATCTGGTCATCTACAAATGAGAGGCGAGCATGAGGTCTCGAACGATGCGGACAGTAAGAGTCCTAGCAGAATTGGCTGTCCGAGTCCGTTTAGTAAGGACAGACTCGACAGCCAAAATAGGAGACTGAAGAAGTACGAAAACGATGACATTCCCCCGGAAAAGGTAGTCAGGATTTATCAGGAAGAGTTAACTAAACTCATGGGAAGGAGAGTGGAGGATCTTCGTGGACCACGAGAATTCCCTCCTAGGTAAGATCTCGAAAGCTTCTTCTATTCCAGTCGGGGACTCTCTAATTCACAAGCTCCTCTTCCCTTAAATCGTACGCGAACTTCGCCATTTCCGATTGATTATTAATGAGGACAGCACACGACCTCGATTGATCGTAGCGCGGTGTTTCCGCATTTTTTCAGCGGTGCCCAAGGTCTCCAAGGTATAGAAAGAACTCAAGAGGATATCAGACTGGCATTGGACGCTTATCATCGGGAGTTACAAAAGTTGAACGCTGGTCCTGGACAAAATTCGGCATTAACAGGTTTGCCAGGATTACCTGGGCTTCCTGGTTTATTAGCTCTTCAACAGCAGGCTCTTCAGCAACATCACTTGGCGACAAATGGCGGTGGTGTACAGGACTTGAGTTTAGGAAAAATGGATATAAGGAATAAGATGATAAACGGCGTTACGGAGGAGGAAAAGGAGAAGATGGAAGAAGCAATGAGACACGCAGGTAGCGCTTTCTCATTGGTCAGGCCTAAACAAGAGACTACGGGAGCCCAATCGACGCCCGGTGGTTCCAGTGCGAGTTCACCACTCGGTAATTCCATACTACCTCCAGCGATGACGCCAAGTGAAGATTTTTCTGGCGCTGCTGCGGCCAGTCCGCTCCAAAGGATGGCCTCCATCACGAACAGCCTAATCAGCCAACCGTCCACTCCGACCCATCATGCTTCTAATCAAAGACCACTAAAGGCCGTTCTTCCTCCCATTACTCAACAACAATTCGACATGTACAATAATCTTAATACCGAGGACATCGTAAAGAGGGTGAGAATGATTTTCAAACGTTTTATTTTTATATTCATTTAACGAGTTCCAATTATCATCGCGTCGAACATTTTAACAGGTAAAAGAACAATTGTCGCAGTATTCGATCTCTCAGCGTCTATTTGGCGAATCGGTTCTTGGTCTATCTCAGGGTTCTGTCTCGGATCTTTTGGCACGTCCAAAACCCTGGCATATGCTGACGCAGAAAGGCCGTGAACCCTTCATCAGAATGAAAATGTTCCTCGAGGACGATAACGCTGTTCACAAACTGGTAGCAAGTCAATATAAGATCGCACCGGAGAAGCTGATGAGGACCGGCGGCTACGGCGGCCTGCCTCGTAAGTTTAACTCAGGTCAATATAGATGTTTTGTTACTTTACTACAAACGTAGTTCGAGAGCTCCCAAATATATATATATATATATATATACATACGTATATATATATATATATGTTTATATGTATGTGTGTGAGTGTGTAAAGCACGCCGTAAAAGTGTATGCTATTTTTTAATCGATCCGATAACGAGTAGGTTATACGGTTATTTGTTTAAAGTAATGTTTACAAGCATGTTGTTCATGTTTAGAAATGATTATTATTCTTTTATGCATAGACCACGTAATAAATTATATTTTTATTTACAGAACTATTAATTGAAGTTAAATGAGAAATTTAATTATGCGCGAAAATTCTGCTAAGAAATAAATCGACGTAGAATTGCTTTGTAATACGGTATAATATTTGTTAGGTAGCTGATGCGATATTTTCTTAAATGTCGAATAGAGCTTTCGGACTATGAAAACGTTATTATTTCAACATTACTTTAATTATCTCATTTTCATACTACAGCATGCGGAACGCCTATGAAACCGATGCCGCCGACGAAATTGGTCCAGGAACAACTGCAAAATGCTGCTAAGGCACAGGCCGCGGCACAGGCAGCGGCCCAAGCGGCAGCGGCGCAACATCAGCAAGAGAATCAAATGCAATTGGGTCCGCCACAGCAGAGTCCGCAGCATCCTCAACATCCTCAGCCACCTTTGCCGATGATGCTGACACCACCGGGTCCGCACCATCCACACGCCCAAATCAGTATGCAAGAACTTCAGAAGAAACAACAGCAACAGCAACAACAACAAATGACTCTACATTCTCCGCACCATCAGATGACACCGTCGCCATTGCGAGGCCCTCATTTGCACATTTCATCGAGCGTTTACGAGATGGCAGCGTTAACGCAAGATCTAGACACGCAAACGATCACAACCAAGATCAAAGAGGCCTTATTGGCGAACAACATTGGTCAAAAGATATTTGGAGAAGTCGTTCTTGGATTGTCACAGGGCTCGGTTAGTGAATTATTAAGCAAACCAAAACCATGGCATATGTTAAGTATAAAAGGTCGGGAACCATTTATAAGAATGCAAATGTGGTTGTCGGATGCTCACAACGTTGACAGATTGCAAGCTTTGAAGAACGAGCGAAGAGAGGCTAACAAAAGACGGCGTAGCAGTGGTCCGGGACACGACAACAGTTCGGACACTTCGAGCAACGATACCGCGGAGTTTTATCATGCTGCTTCGCCTGGTCCAGGGCCAGCTTCGGCGAAAAAACAACGAGTATTATTCTCTGAGGAACAAAAGGAAGCACTTAGGCTTGCGTTCGCCCTCGATCCATATCCTAACGTTAGTACGATCGAATTTCTCGCGGGAGAGCTCGCTTTATCCTCGAGAACGATAACGAATTGGTTTCACAATCATCGGATGAGATTGAAACAGCAAACGCCACACGGTCAACCAGAACCTCAATCGCCAAGGGAACCTGGTCAACCCTTCGATCGAGTGCAGTTCAGATTATTGCTGAATCAACGGCTGGTAGAGATTCAGAAGGAAAGGTTGGGCTTGGGCAACGTACCATTACCTTATTCGCCGTATTTCAATCCGAACTTGGCAGCCTTGGTCGGGAACGCACTGAAGGAACAATGTTCGGGTTTGGATCTATCGATGAGCGCCCTAAAGAGAGAGCCCAATCAAGAATTCGAGGACGAGGACGTCGAGGATGCTATGAGTAATCTCGGTAGCGAAGATTCCGAAGTTTCTGCTGGTAGCATAAAGAGAGAACCAGCGGAGACGCCGACTGCACCGACCACCGTCAGGTCTAACAGAAGGAAACCCGCAGCACCTCAATGGGTTAATCCAGAATGGCAAGAACCAACGAGAACGGGCGATGAGGTTATCATAAATGGCGTTTGCGTTATGCAAACGGACGACTACGGTGTTAAAAGGGAAGCGGAGGAGACCATTAGGGTCGAACCTACGCCTGTACAAGATAGATACGAGGAGGACGTTCAAAGTGATGTTTCCTCGGTATCCGGTAACAATGGACCGGACAGAGACAGTCCAATGCCCAGTCCAAAGTCCGGACAAAATAGTCCAGTTACGTCGCCTAGGTCGCCGTCGGTACAACAAACGGTACAACAGTCCACAGAGACGAGTCCCAAAGAAATCATTAAACACGAACCCGAAGAAGCTTGGGACTATTAAAAGGTTATAACCTCGCGTCGATCGAGGTAAACCTAAAACGATCTCTACGTAATGTCTCGTCGTTCGTCGTCGAAAATCGAATGTTTTTTTTCGATATATTCGCTATGACGATGATGACGACGACGACGACGACGACGACGACGACGACGACGACGACGACAACGACGACGATGACGACGACGATGACGAGGATGACTATGACTATGACGATAACGGCGAAGATGGCGATGACGTTCCACGATTGTTATATCAACGTTCTGTGGACTGCTGGTATACGAAGGATTCGTGTTTCATTTTATGACAAATAGAGACGAATTTTAAAAAGGAAAAGAAGAAGAAGAATAAAAGAAAGGAGAGAGAGAGAGAGAGAGAGAGAAAGAGGAAGAAGAAAACAAGAAGAAAAAAGAAAAATGCAAAAGTGCATTATAAATCGTCAGGACGTTTTCGTAATTAAGAGATAGGGGATAATTTATCGGAACGATATGTTGAACTTCTATACGCGAAATGGATGATATGAGTTCTTCTTTTAAGAAAAGAAAAAGGGAATATTGAGTGTGCTGGATAAAGGGAGCTTAATCAAAAGAACTCGATCGAACTCATTAGGTTCGCGCCGCTTAGTTGGACTCTTCGGTGAGAAATAACCGAAGTGAAAATAATATATATATATATGTGTATATGTATATATATACATACACACACATCTATATATATATTTATAGTGATGTGCGTTATCGGAAGACTGTGAAAACGCGACAGCTCGATTTAAATTCAATCGCGCGGCGGTCGTTGCGATTCTCTCGAAATTTCGTAAGAACCCCGGCCACTTTCGCTTTCGCCGATTATCGATCCTGTGTTGCTTTATTTGACAGCCTTACCTGAGAGAATCTTCGAAATCGAATTTAGAATTCATCGAAGAATGGACGGTGCACGAAGGATCGCAAGTTTAAGAAAAAGAAAAGAAAATGATAAAAGGAGAGAAAAGAAAAATATTCGAGAACGGACGAGGCCGGGATTCGCCTCAGTGCAATCTCCCAGTAAAACGGTTGTTAGATCGGATTATTATTAATTTTTAAAACTAAATTATGCAAAGCGACGAGAGAGAGAGAGAGAGAGAGAAAGAGAGAGAAAGAGAGAGAAAGAGAGTGTGCGCGCGAGAGAGAAAGAGAGAAAGAATGAGAAAGAGAGAGAGAGAGAGAGAGAGAGAGATGATGAGAATGATGATGATGATGATGAGAGCGATCAACGATTATTGCATAATTGTGATTCATGTTATTGTTTATACTCCTCTCCCTCTACCCCGATCTAGAAATTAAGAAACTGTTAATGTTATTACGTCTTTGTCTCTCCTAATTACGCGTACCTTTTTACTTCTTTGTTTCATCAAGAATTACTACGTTGTTTCTCTTCATCTTCTTCTTCTTCTTCTTCTTCTTCTTCTTCTTCTTCTTCTTCTTCTTTTTCCTCCATCTTCTCCTCCTTCCACTTCTTCCTCTTCCTCTTCTCCATTTTTCCTTTTCATTCACTTTTCATTCATTTTATCCTTCTTACTTTCTTCAATTTTCCCCAACTCTATTTCTTCTTAGTACTTCGCTTTCTCGTCTATTTATAAAATTACAGTGACAAGAGAACACTTAAGACCAATGTTATTATTAATTATTATTACTACTATTATTATTACTATTATATCACTGCTATATTATTATTATTATTAATATTATTATTATTATTATTATTATTATTATTATTATTATTATTATTATTATTATTATTATTATTATTATGAGTTATCACGTTATTTAGATAATGAATTATTTTCGATTATTATATCTTAAGTATCGATCATAGGAATCGGCTATTCGTCGTATTTGTCCGTGAACCATCGCGAGAGGATTTTAGGATACCAAAAAAAAAAAAAAAAAAAAGAAAAAAGAAAAAAGAAAAAAAAAAAAGAAGAAAAGAAAAAAGTACGAGGATCGCGTAAGCTTATTCCTATCGGGAAATAATTATATTGCATTATAATAGCTTCCTTTCTTTCTTTCATTCTTTCTTTTTTTCTTTTTCCTTTTTTTTTTCTTTCTTTCTTTTTTTTTTTTTTTTTTTTCTTTTTTTTTTCTCTCATTTCTATGAAATCGTTGGCTGCGCAAGACGATCGTAAAGGGAGAGACGAATATTTTCATTCGTCACTATTGTATTACTAGGCTTACGTTATTGCTATTTTATTGCTACTATTTTATATAACAATTATTATTATTATTATTATTATTATTATTATTATTATTATTATTATTATTATATTTTTATTATTATTATTATTATTATTATTATTATTATTATTATTATTATTATTATTATTATTATTATTCTATTACTATTTTATTTGATCGAGTTATTATTGCGATAACAATATGGCTTGTGAAGCCAATGTGATAGAGCTTATATGCGTTTCGAGAAGAAAAAAAAAAAAAAGAAAAATAGAAAGCGTGCGAGTGAGATGGACGAGTTGCATATTGTAAATCTCGTCGAGCGTACGGAATGAAAGGGTAAAAGATTGAGTGAAAGAGAGAGAGAGAGAGAGAGAGAGAGAGAGAGAGAGTGTGTGTGTGTGAGAGAGAAAGAGAGAATGAGAGAGAGAGAGAGAAAGAGAGAATGAGAAAGAGAAAAAAGAAGAAAGAATGAAAGAAAGAGCGAATGATAATGCACGATAGATAAAATGCGTAAGCGTTAGAAAAAAAAAGAGAGAGAGAGAGAGAGAGAGAGAGAAAGAGAGAATAGAACGAATAGCGTGATTTCTTAAAGCTCGCATATTATAATGTAAATAATTGTACAAAGAGACTCGAGATACGAACAAAAATTGAAAAACGCATATACATCTTGTATATTATACTTAATTAAACACACTTAACTTTCTCATAGTATACCAAGTATATCCAACGCAAAGAATTTAAACGATTACGCGAGTAAAAAACGTCGGTGATGAAAACAAAGGCTTAACGTCGTATTTTCTTTTCCTTTTTTTTTTTTTTTTTCTTTCTTTTCTTTTTTTTTCCATTCGAACAAAACACAATTAATAAAGCAAGGAATTATTCAAAATTTCGAAATCTTAAAAAGCGTTTGGTGGTGTGTTTAATGATCATGAAAATTCGACGTTTGGCTTTTGATTTTAGAAAAAAAAAAAAAGAAAAAAGAACAAAAAAAAGAGAGAAAAAGAGAGAGAGAGAGAGAGAGAGAGAGACAGAAAAGAACAAGACGCGCGTGTGCGAAAAAAGAGAGAGAGAGAGAAAGAAATGAAGAAAGAAGTAAAGAGAAAGAAAGAAAGAGAGAGGGAGAGAGAAAGAGGGAGAAATAGATCGATACGAGAATATCGTTGTAAAGTAATCGATTGCCTATGAGGAAAGCGAAGCAAGAAATTTGTTTTGTTGTGTCTGTAATGAACGAAAGTAAGAGAGAGAGAGAGAGAGAGAGAGAGAGAGAGAGAGAGAGAGAGAGAGAGAGAGAGTTAGTATGCTTGCGTATGAGTCCAGTGATCCAGTCTTCGTAAGAAGAGAGAAAGACAGACAAAAAGTTATCCTCGATATTAAAAATCAAACTAGTATTTACCAGATTAAATTTTAATCTTCGATTAAATTCTAGTCCGCAAATTAAAAAAAGAGAGACAGAGAGAGAGAGAGAGAGAGAGAGAGAGAGAGAATGAAAGAGAGAGTGAAAGAGAGAGTGAAAGAGAGAGTGAAAGAGAGAGAAAAAGAAAGAGAGGAGAGAGAAAGATAAAGGAGAATAAGAAAGTGTCAGATGATCGAGAATGAAAAAAAAAACAAAGTGAAAGAGTAATGGAGTTTGCTCTTTAAGACGAGGATAGATAGATAGTTAGATAAAGAGAAAACACGAAAGAAAGAGAAAGATATATATATATATATATATATATATATATATATATAAATATATATATATAGAAGAGATACAGGGGAGAGATGATCGAAAAGAGAAGGAATGGGAATGCTTGGAGTGAAAGAGGAAATATGATTGTGGAAATGGGACGAAGACACACACACCGGTGATCGCTATATATAGTTTTCCTTTTTAATCACGTTTTCTTCTTCTTCTTCTTCTTTTTTCTTCTTTTGTTACTCCCTTTGTTATTAATTATTATATAATTATATTCCCATATAATTATATCTCTGTATAATAATTATTAACAAGTGTGAGAAGTTTTAATAAGTGAAACGATTAGGCGCGGTTTTTGATAAATTTTTTTTTATAAAACTCATCCAGCCGTGCTCTCTGCTGCTCGATCGTGCCTCGATCAATGAATATTAATTTGATTATTTAATATATGTATATATATACATATATATAGAAATTATAATTATATATATATATATATATACATATTGTGAAAACTTGCGATCTTCGTAGTTCGTCGACTAATGATCCAATGGGGAATGCAAATGATAAAGACAAAAACTTACGTATGCATTAAGCGATCTCAACTGTCCAAATACCAAAATTATAAATTATTTCGAAGCGATCATATTGTAGTCCTTTATATAATGCCTTCTTCTTTCGATATCTCGATCGTTCGATTGATCTCATTCGTAGGATATCGATCGCCGCAACTCTCTTCGAAATTTCTTCTTCTCTTTATTTTTCTTCTTCTTCTTCTTCTTCTTCTTCTTTTCCTTCTTTTTCTTTTTCTTTTTTTTTCTGATTTTAAAAAAAATTTCACGAAAAAATATGATTTTCTAATGAAAAATTCCTTCTCATCTTCTTTCTTTCTTTCTTTTTTTTCTTTCTTTCTTTCTTTCTTTCTTTCTTTCTTTCTTTCTTCTCCTTTCTTTTTCTTCTTTCTCCACCTTTGACTTTTCTCATCGCCGTTCGAGCCTGATAATATACAAGAGAAATAAAAAAAAAAAAAAAAAAAAAAAATAAGGAGAAGGAAGAAAGAGAGAATAAAAAGAGAGAAAAGGGGAGAGAAAAGAGAAAAAGGATAAAATAATATCTAAATTAATTAGATCCTTGTAAGATATTGTAATAGAATTTACGGATAGATAATCGATAGCTTTAAAATATTATTTAAAACCGGTAAAATAATTTTTAATCTCGAGAGTGTGCGGTCGATGATTTCGAGAAAGAAAGAAAGAAATAATAAGGGATAATGAAATATAGAAAAGAGAGAGAAAGAAAGAAAGACAGAAAGAAAGAAAGAAAGAAAGAAAGAAAGGAAGGAAGAAAGCAAAAGCAAAAGCAAAACGAAACGAAGGATAGGAAAGAAAAGTTAATGAAATGAAATGAAATGAAATGTAGAGATAAGTGGGGGGGGGGAAAAAAGCAAAGAGAAAGAGAAAGAGATTCAAGATAAATGTATAATAATAAAATGGCGCGTGGGCTTCGTGATGCGTTTAATATGCGGAATAATACGCGAATGGTTAAAATAATAGCGTTTTATCGAAAAAGGAGTGCGTGGAAGAGAGGAGGAGAATGAAAAATCATATCGTAAACCTAATAATGAATATTTTACAAAAAAAGGTAAACTGTAGATAGATATTCGAAGAAGTTATTCCAGAATCCCCCGATAACCCTCTCCTTAAATTTTCCCATCCGTTCTCTTAAAAAAAAAAAAAGAGAGAGAGAGAGAGAGAGAGAAAGAAAGAAAGAAATAGAGAAATAGAGAAAAAGAGAGAGAGAGAGAGAGCGAGAGAGAGAGAGAGAAAAAAATGAAACCCATCAGCACCCTCCTCCCTCCCCGTTAAACGAAGAGGAGAGCGCGCATATGCGGGGCGTATACAAAATGTATATATATGCGCGGGCACACGATCAAAAGAACGAAGAAAAAGAGGACACGACGAAGAAGGGACACACTGTCATCCAGTAGTGAAAATAATGTATTAAAAAGAGAGACATACATTCATATACATACGCATGAACACACACAAATACACGCGAAAAACACACAAAAAATACGCGCGTTTACA